AGCGACGGGATCTGCAGTATCCTTAACATCAAGATAGGAAAGGAGCTCCCAAATGACAAGGGTTTCAGGTCATTCTAATTTTTAAATGCCAAAGAGAGGTTAAAGCAAACAATTCAATGATATCCACTGTATTTGACAACAGAGAGTGATAGGGAAAGAAACCAAATTTTGATGCTTAGCAAGTGTATGAGAGATAAGGACACTGACACCACAAATAAAAACGTCTTCTTTTTTTAAAAATTAATTAATTAGGGCTTCCCTGGTGGCTCAGTGGTTGAGAGTCCGCCTGCCGATGCAGGGGACGCGGGTTCGTGCCCCGGTCTGGGAAGATCCCACATGCTGCGGAGCGGCTGGGCCCGTGAGCCATGGCTGCTGGGCCTGCGCATCCGGAGTGTGTGCTCCACAACGGGAGAGGCCACGGCAGTGAGCGGCCCGCATACTGCTATATATATATATATATATATATACACACACACACACACACACACACACATTTATTTATTTATTTATTTATTTATTTATGGCTGCGTTGGGTCTTCGTTGCTGCGTGCAGGCTTTCTCTAGTTGCGGCGAGTGGGGCCTACTCTTTGTTGCGGTGCACGGGCTTCTCATTGCAGTGGCTTCTCTTGTTGTGGAACACAGGCTCTAGGCACGTGGGCTTCAGTAGTTGTGGCTCACAGGCTTCAGTAGTTGTGACTCGTGGGCTCTAGAGCACAGGCTCAGTAGTTGTGGCACACGGGCTTTGTTGCTCCACGGCATGTGGGATCTTCCCGGACCAGGGCTCGAACCCATGTCCCCTACATTGGCAGGCAGATTCTCAACCACTGAGCCACCAGGGAAGTCCCAAAAGCTTCTTTTTTAAGAGCTTGAGTAAGAGAGGAAAGAGGGGATGGAGGGTGCAGAAGCTGGAGGAAATTTTAGGATTAAAGGGGATGTTTTTAGGAGTGGGCAGACTTGAACATTTTTACAGAATTTCCAAAGTGTTGAACTGAAGTAGAAGTGATCGGAAACTGGAAAGCATTTCCAGATCTTGGAACAATAACAACCCTCAGGTATTGGTGGCTAAATAAACCCATTGACCTGTAGCAGAACAGCTTCCACCTGCGCTCCTTAGACTTTTGACTTTATCATTGGTGTTAATTAAATAGGTTCCTTTTTGCCCACTTGGGCTGGGTGCCCCGCTTATAGAGCTGGATGTGTGGTACCCTCCCATCTGCCCAGAATCTCCTGGTCTGTGCTTGCCTCCTGGGAATACCTTCCTGGGCTTCTTTGCTGGTGTTTTGCTCCACCCTCACATCTGCTGCCTCACTTAAGGCATCTCTTCCGGACATCTTGCTTGAAGTTAGGCCAGTCGCCAACAAGGTAGACAGTCAGGGTTTTCAGTGTTATTTGTGATTCACTTAAAAGTTTACAGGTATATTCTTAATAATCTGCATCTCAAGAATCATGACGGTTATCAAACAGATAACAGTGGTGAGTCCTGGGAAGACCAGGGAAGGGAGAGAGAGGACCATGGTCAAGGGCTTTATTCATATTGCTTGAGTTTTTTTGAAATGAGAATTGAAACTAAATTTAAAAGAATCATGCTAAACAACCAAGTTTGAAAATTAAAACTTTATCATATCAGAGGTGTTATTAGTAAATATAGTTTATTGACTTTGTATTTCTTTCAACCATGTGAAAGATTTCAGTTCTAATTACATCTGTGAGTTTAGTTCCATACTTAACTGTGGAGGAGCTCTTGAAGCCTACGTGAAGTTTTGCAGGGCCTGGGAATTGATTTAGTCCAAGATCCACTGAACCTTCCCACCCCTCTGTGTGAATTTCAAGGCCAATCTGGTTATTCTGCAAGAGAATAGAGAAAACTGGAGCAGTTCAAATAGTTTACTGCCGTGGCTACACATGCTCAGATGGAAGGATTGCGGTGTAGTTCTGAACATTTCAAAATGATGTTTGGAAGGCATTTGCCATTACTCATACCTTAGAAGGAAATTAGTGCTGTAGATAACTTCAACTAGATAATTTTAAATGTTGATTTTAGAATAAAATTTTGTTTATCTTGAATATGAGTGCATCTGATACAGAGGTTTACAGCCCTGCAGAGAAAGTAATGAAGCTGTCCTGTAAAAACTGGTTTCCAGAGTACTTGGAAAACTGCCCAGTTCCCCCCCGCCTGCCTCTCCTCTGTTTTAACTCCTTTTCCATCACTGACCACCGGCAAGCGTCTGGGACCAACTGCCAAGCAGGCAAAGGACAGAGCTGGCCAGTGTCCTAAGCTTGTCTGTTAGCAAGATATGTAATAATGGGCTACTTTATGAAGTTGGTATAGAATTTAGACTACTGATAAGTCTGGAGAAGAATGTTTAGCCGGGGCAGAAACTAACCACAATAGAGAACTGAAAATTAGTCGGTCTTATCTTGATAGTCTGCAGTTGAGAAAAAGTTAAGAATCCTGTCTTTCTCTGGGGTGCTGAGCGTCACACGTAACCACAAGGTTTACATCCTCTGTGAGGGCCAGGCCCATCTTGGAAGTTGCAACTAGCTTCTTCATCTTTCCCCAGTGCAGTGTGGAAGCGTCCATACTGAGTTATTGGAATCACGTCAGGATTCAGTTCAGCTTATGTTTATTGAACTCCTACCTGATACCAAATTCAAAGTTAATGTAAGACATAGATAGTCCTTGTTGTCAGAGAGTTCTGTTGTGTGAAGAAAACAGACCCATGGATATTACCAGTATTATATGGTATTTCTCAGAGGAGGAACACTTAGTGCAACCAGGAAGGGTACAGGAAGCTTTCGGGAGCTAACACCTGAGGCAGATCTTAAAGGAGGAGTAGAAGGGGGACCTCCCTGGCGGTCCAGTGGTAAAGAATCCACCTTCCAATGCAGGGGACGTGGGTTGGATCCCTGGTCGGGGAACTAAGATCCCACATGCCACAGGGCAACTAAGCCCACATGCTGCAACTACTGAGCTCACATGCCTCAACTAGAGAGCCCGTGCGCCACACCTAGAGAGAAGCCCTCGCACCTCAACGAAGATCCCACATGCCGCAACTAAGACCCGATGCGGCCAAAAATAGATAAATAAATAGCACCCCTTATTAAAAAAAAAAAAGAGGAGTAGAAGGGAATTAGGCACAGGGCCCTCAGAGACGTTAGTGAGCGAGGAAACCCTGTGCAGTCCATGTGACTAGAATGTGAAGTGACGATGGGGCTAGAGAGATCTTGAATTTAACCCTAAGGGTAGTAGGTAGGTATTGACTGAATTTTGGCAGTGGTATGCTCAAAGGTCAAATTGGCTTTTTAGAAAGGAAGATTGCTGGGATAATAGTGTGTATAAAAGAAGGGTAAAGATAATAATTAAAATGTCACTAATATCACAACACCATTCCATCTGAGATTTATTTATTCAAACACTTAAAAAAATAAGCTAAGGTAGAGATGATGAGAGATAAGAGAGCAGCAAGATGCTTTAGAGATTCAGTAAAACACTACCTCAAATGTAGGACTAAAGCTATAATTTATAATCCGTAGCCATGGGAAATGGAATGTGCTTTCTTGGACAGAAACATTAAGTTGATTGTGAAATCAACTAGGGGGCCAGTTGAAATCAGCTAGGGGGCCAGCTTCCAAATAGTGACCATCCTTCTGACGACAGTGTAGCATGTTGAGCAGAATATCCTTCTAGCATTTGTTCCTGCCATTATAAAATGAAGGGACTGGCCTGGGATCTCTCAATGTCTAATAAATGGCTGTCATTTCATGTATATTTGTATATATATGAGTATATATTTCACATATATATAAAGAGAGAAACATTCCATCATGAAATAACATTTTCACTGCACTTATTAGCAACTTGCTGTCATCTGATTTGATTTTGAAGAGGCCATTCCAGCAATTAATTAGAAACAGATTGGAGCGGAGCAAGAGTAGGCCCAGGAACACCAGCTAAGAGGCCTCCACAAGTAAGAAATGATGACAACAATGAAAATGAAGAGTTATGGGGCTTCCCTGGTGGCGCAGTGGTTGAGAGTCCGCCTGCTGATGCAGGGGACACGGGTTCGTGCCCCGGTCCGGGAAGATCCCATGTGCCGCGGAGTGGCTGGGCCCGTGAACCATGGCCGCTGAGCCTGCGCGTCCGGAGCCTGTGGTCCGCAATGGGAGAGGCCACAGCAGTGAGAGGCCCGCGTACCGCAAAACAAACAAACAAACAAACAAACAAAAATTATGTGTGGATCTGAGATACATATTGTGAAAGCAGGAATGACAGGACTTGCTGATGGACTGTGAGAGGACTGGGGTGGGGTGAGAAATCCAGGATGACTCTGAGGTTCTGACCCAGGCACCTGGGTGGAGGATGATACCCCCTCCTTATTTTTTTTGACGGTGCTACATGGCATGCCAGATCTTAGTTCCCTGACCAGGGATCGAAATCGTGCCCCCTGCAGTGGAAGCACGGAGTCTTAACCACTGGACTGCCAGGGAAGTCCCAGTTATACCCTTGATTGAGACAGTGGAGACAGGAGAATGGGGTCCGGGGGTGGTACGGGGCGGAGGGGATGAAGAGTGCAGTTTGGGATGTATTGAATCTACAGTGATTATGAGACATCCTCATGTCAAATGGAGAAGTTGAAAAGGCAATTTGGTATTTTTTGGTAGAAAAAATGAGTTAAATAAATAATAAAGGTTTAACATAGGTTGTCATGTTTCTTCAGAAAGTATTTCAGTTCACATTCTTAAAAACCATTCACCTTTATAGAGCATGTGGCTGGTGCCCTGCCCTGTATTAAGTGTTTTACACATATTTCATTTAAACTTCCAAAGAACCCTATGAGGAAGATGCTGTTATTGCTCCCAATGTTGAATGAGGAAGCTGAGGCTTGAGCTGTTAGGCCACTGGCCTAAGCGTCAGTAGCTGGTAGGTGGAGAAGCCTGGATTTGTACCATGGCATCTTGCTGTGAGCATGAGGCTCATTGTTATTTTCTTCTCTTTTCAGGGTTTTGGTTTTTGCACTGAATGTAGTCTAGACTCATCTTCACGGGCTTGTGTTGCCCCAGGATACTGTCAAAGGTAAGTTTTAAAAATCTATTTCCACCGTGTATTGACAGTGAAATGAGAGTCTTCATCTTAAAAAGAAGAAAAGTACGTTTTGACATTAATGCTTCTTTCCAGAGCTCTTACAGAAGGGTATTTAAAGTGGCCATCACACAAGCCCTTTTGCATTTCCACTTCACTAGGTCCCTTTAAAAACACCTGTATTTCGTTTGATACTGACATTTGGTGCCTCATCCTTTTATGAAGCTAGAATTTGTTCTTAGGTTTAGCAGTTTCACAGTTTTACGTGAGGGTAGCCTCGCTTCCCTGCCTCCGGTCCCTCCCCCCTCCGGTCTGTAGTCCACGCACTGCCAGAGTCAGCGTCTAACGATAGATTTGCTCACGTCGCACCTTTGCTTAAACAGCTCTCGTGGCTCCCGGTCAATGCAGATGTCATCCTACAAACCCCTCCAAAACCTAATCCCAAACAACGTTTCTGGCTTCTTTTTTAATAAACCCCTATCTGTGAACCTTACCAGACCATGTTCTGTTCCCCAGACATGAAGTTATTTTTCACAACTTTGTGCCTTGATGGATGCTCTTCTCTTTGCTTAGATTTTGGAAGAGGGGAGAGGAATGCAACTATTTACTCTTCCTTCTTGTACTCTCCTGGCAGAAATTCTTTTTCATCTGTGTTCTAAGAGCACCCGTTGTTGTTACAGCAATGAAGCATTCGTTATTTTAAGAGTTATTTGTATCTGTCTCCTTTACTAGTCTGTAAACCCTTTGAGAATTCTTGGAAAGGAACTGTTTTTGTAGTGCCTACTGGCTGCTTCTGGACACCTTGCTGAGTGCTATACGTATATTATTTTTTTTAACTAATTAATTAATTTATATATTTTTATTTTTGGCTGCGTTGACTCTTCACTGCTGCACGTGGGCTTTCTCTAGTTGCGGTGAGTGGGGGCTACTCTTCGTTGTGGTGTTCGGGCTTCTCGTTGCAGTGGCTTCTCTTGTTGAGGAGCACGGGCTCTAGGTGCACAGGCTTCAGTAGTTGTGGCACGTGGGCTTAGTTGCTCTGTGGAATGTGGGATCTTCCCGGACCAGGGCTTGAACCCGTGTCCCTTGCATTGGCAGGTGGATTCTTAACCACTGCGCCACCAGGGAAGTCCTATTATTTAACTTCATTCTTGTAACACCTCCTCTGACCAGTTTTATAGATGAAAATAATGAAGATTAGAAAGTTAAGTAACTTGCTCAAGATTATACAGCTAAGAAATGACAAAGAATAATGGTTCTGCTCCTTCAAAGCCAAAGCTCATTCTACTACACCACACTAGCCCAGCACCATCTGGCATGTGGTGGGGACCCAGTAAATATTTATTGAATAAATACCTATTGCAATTTAAACAAAAAAGGCTTTAGTTGATTAATTCAGTCATTCTTACATAGAAATTTATTGGATACTTATTAAATGCTGGGTACACAGTTTTACGTAATCTGTTAATACAGAGATTAATGAGAAATAGTGTCTGGTATCAAAGCGTTGATAATCTAATAGGAGAGGCATTAATGTAAGTAAATAAATCCAATACAGTGTTACAGATCTTGTAGTAAAATTCAAACAAGATCCACTGGGAACACTGAGGAAGGAATCACCAGTTCTGCCTAGAGGTGAGACAGGAATTACTTTATGAAAGCTGAGTCTCGAATGAGAAGTAGGGAGAGGAAAGACCAAGGGAGTAACATGAATAAAAACATGGAAACCTGAAACAATCTGGCATATTTGGGAAGCTGTAAGTAGTTCACTATGGCTGGAACAAAGTGAACAAAGAGACCTTGGCCGATGGTGCTGGAGAGACAGGTGAGGGCTGGATCCTGGAGGACTTTGAAAATATGAACATATTTGCCAACTTCTTTAGAGAAGCTCGAGCACAGAGGCTGCATGACGTTACTCGTATTTGCTCGTTAACGTCTGCTGAGGCCTGTCCTGTGTGTGCTGAAGCACTGTGCCAGGTCAAGACTATCATCGGTCACCTACTTTATTCACCTTCGTTTTTGTCAAAAGGGCGGTAAAACTGATTTAGACCCTTAGACACAACTATAAGCCACGACTTCAAACAAGAATGTCTTAGAGGCTTTCTCAAGAAACACATTGAAAAACATTAAGGATAGTTCAAAATCAACCAAAAAAAAAAAAAGAGAGAGCAAATTAAGGACATCAGTATGACATTTAGTGAGAAACCTCTCAATTTCCATTTCCCCTTTGAATTGCCTATATAAGCCTAGAACAAACTATTTAAACATAGAACTTCACTGGTTTTATAGCACATGTGCTGTTTGAAATTCAGCTGCCTTGCAGCTTATATGCAGCAAATAATGGTTGTACTCGCTAAATATCTAAAAGGCCTGTATGAAGAAAGTCTCTTTTCCCTAAAGTCTAATCATTGCCTCAGCCATGTCTGCTTAGGAAAAGCTGTGCCTGCATAATTCAAGGTCAGGCAGCAGCCTTCTGTGCTTTGAAGCCACCCAAGCCTGATAATGCCCTATTGCCTTTGCTGAGGCCAGCACAGCTGGCATTTGCTTGCTAGGCCAGAGTGGCTGATGTATGCTGAGGCCACTTGCACAGCTGACATTTAGATGAGCTTTCAGTGCCACCACCACCACTGCTGCCGCCACGACCAGTTGTGGCTTGTTGCTTTGCTGAGGCCGGTGAAGCCCCCAAGCCTTTGCTCAGGCTTCTCTGCCTGGTGCATGCAGCCTTGTCTCTATAGAAACAGCCACATACCTGAAGACAGAGTTGCCATAACTACAGTTACACTAAGGTCAAAATACAGTGTGGCCTATGCTTTATAAAATTGTCTTTTTTTAAAAAATTTATTTTATTTTTGTCTGCGTTGGGTCTTCATTGCTGTGCACAGGCTTTTCTCTAGTTGAGGCGAGCGGGGGCTATGCCTCGTTGCGGTGCACGGCCTTCTCATTGCGGTGGCTTCTCTTGTTGTGGAGCACGGGCTCTAGGCACGTGGGCTTTAGTAGTTGTGGCTTGCGGGCTCTAGAACGCAGGCTCAGTGGTTGTGGCATATGGGCTTAGTTGCTCCACGGCATGTGGGATCTTCCCAGATGAGGGCTCGAACCCGTGTCCCCTGCATTGGCAGGTGGATTCTTAACCACTGTGCCACCAGGGAAGCCCCCCTATGCTTTATAAACTTCTAATTTAGCCTCAGTAGTTAAAAGCTAGTATATAACTGTAAAAACTCATGTGGACTAACGTAAACCTCTATAAGGTCAAAGCACTTTGCCCCCTCACAAAAGACCAAGGCCCAGAGTCCTGGGCCCAACAGAAGCCTCAGAAATTTCACGTGTATTTTTCTCCCCAAATTTTGCTTCATGTCTATTAATCAAGACTCTAGTCTCATGTGCCAGATTTAGGTCTTTGAGAGATCTAATAAATAGCACCTTTTCCCTAGGCTGAGTTCTATACCATTGAGAAATAGAAGAGTAGGGCATTTGGGAGACCAAAATATCATCTTTATTACTAATAAAGCTGTTTTGGAGAATGCAGCTTACATCTATGGGCAAGAGTCTTAACAGTGAAGCTCAGAATTCAGCAGACTTAACCTGTCACAGGTTTACGTGAGGGACCTGTACTGATGGGTATGAGAGTGGAGCACAATGCGTGCTCCTGAGGGACAGCTGGCTTCCGAAGGTAAGAGACAGAAGGGGCTGAGCTCACATACCTTGTTTCTCCTTCTGAACTCACCATTCAGATAAGATCCTGCACCTCCACTGGGGTGGAATGTGTGGATGGAGTGGAGCCAGGAGTGAAACCTCAGGAGAGGGGAAGAAGCGTTCTTCTTTCCAGCGCATTCAAACGAAAACGGCACAGAAATAATGGGGGTGTCTTTTCTGGTCAGCTATGCCTGTAATGTATCATCTATGAAATACAATCTCTATTTCAGTAAAGCAGAACGAGAACTTAAAAGACTTTTGTGAAGCAATTTGTATACCAGATCTTCCTAGTTAATGTTATCGAGTTTTTCCAGTGCTGTCAATTTAGTTTTTATAGAAAGAGTAATTCTGCTTTTGCACAACTGTCATAAACAGGGGAGGGACAAAACCAACTAGAGAAAGCCAGTTTCACTTTCTGTGAGCTTCACCTGTGTATTTTACAGAGGGAATGGACAGCGTCGGTTCACGCGGAGTGAGTGAATTGGTGTTGGTTAAGGGGCTTCCACTGTACCATTTTACATTTCGTTACATAAATACACATTGCTTCCCAAAAAACCTTATTAGGTGAGCACAGTAGGTATTCGATGCCCTTTCCCACCCAACAGGTAAGCACGCAGATTTCCAGAGATACTCAGTACCTTTTCGGCCTCAGGTCTTGGTTATGGAGAAGCCTACACCAGAACGAGTTTGCGAGGCCCCCAGACCTGCTGTATTCGTAAAGATTTCTCTGCACACCAAAAGGATTCACTGTCAGACGTCTTTTTAGCTTTCATATTTTGTAGCTATGAGCCCTTTGAAATATTTGAAAGGCTTTGAAATATTCATACCTGTATTATAATGGAGATTTGCTTTGTATCAGTTTGAGTACTTATTCCTTAATAATTACGTACTTAGTGAATTAATTTGAATGTTGCATCAACTTTTAGTAGTTTCTTTTTGGTACTTTTTTTTTTTTTTTTTGCAGTACGTGGGCCTCTCACTGTTGTGGCCTCTCCCGTTGCGGAGCACAGGCTCCAGACGCGCAGGCTCAGCGGCCATGGCTCACGGGCCCAGCCGCTCCGCGGCATGTGGGATCCCCTTGGACTGGGGCACGAACCCGTGTCCCCTGCATCGGCAGGCGGACTCTCAACCACTGCGCCACCAGGGAAGCCCCTGGTACATTTTAATTCATAAACTTTTAACACTTTTATTGGACTCATCTTCTTCTTAGAGGAAAAATTACTACTTTTTATTCTCTTGCCCTATGAATAGTCTGTTCTCATATAAAAATAAATTAACTGACATTTATTTTATTAAGCAGATTTTCTTAAAATAAAAAGGTGGGATCAACCATTAGAGTACACCTTAATTTCAGTTATAAAATACCATAAATGTTGAACATAAATTATAAACCCAAGAAACCCAGATACTTTCAATAGCCTAGCCTAATAGCCAGACAGTATGACCTGCTACAGCATAATTGGTCCCCTAGTCTACTTAGGTCGGCCTCTTTTCTGACAGGTCAGTGTTTGTACTGTATGAATTGCTGAAGATTTTCACTATTACCTCTGCCAAAAGTCAAAAAGAGGAAAGACATCTAGAACTGTTTAATATTCCAGTGTCTTAAACCTGTCCTAATTATTCTCCCCTAAGGTGGGGAAAACTCTCTCCCTACCCCTCTCCCTCCTTTCTTATCTAGGATGCATGTGTATACAGACACACACACACACACACACACACGTGCACGTGCGCACACACATTACTTAAGGTCATTGCTTCACAGTATCTATGGTCTCAGTGACAGAATTTCAGTATAGTCTGAGAAAACAGATTTTCACACTGAATTCCTTATGTGTTTTTTTTCTCTTCTTACCTCTTTTAGGCAGTATTTGTGTGTTTCTGCAGAGTTTTGCACAGAGTCTGTTCCCATGCAGACCAATGAGGGAGAAGTATCAGAAGAAAGCAGTTCCAAGGTCAGTGAATTACTAAAGGTGCAAATAATTTGAGTAGAAATTAAACAACAGGAGCAGTGATTGAACAGAGTGGGTGTTATGTTTTAGGTGAATTTAGAAATTTGATTGATTTAAATTAGAACCTAACCTAAGATTGAGAGGAGTTTGTTTCTTCTCACTATCCGTTTTTGTTACACTCGGTGACAAATTTAAAACAAATTTTTCTGAACTCATAGAAAAATTTATGATTCATTTGTAGACTAATTTAAGGTTTTATTATGCAAGTTGTATATACTTATTTTAAAAATTAAAACAAATCAGAAGTGTATAAGGTAAAAGGTAAAACTCTGTCCCTTATTCCTGCTACACAGAGGTATCACTGATAATTTTTTAGACACTTTTTTTTTTTTTTTTTTTTGTGGTACGCGGGCCTCTCACTGTTGTGGCCTCTCCCGTTGGGGAGCACAGGCTCCAGATGCGCAGGCTCAGCAGCCATGGTTCACGGGCGCAGCCGCTCCACGGCATGTGGGATCTTCCCGGACCGGGGCACGAACCTGTGTCCCCTGCATCAGCAGGCGGACTCTCAACCACTGCGCCACCAGGGAAGCCCTTTAGACACTTTTAATTATAAATTTTTAAATGGTAATTGGTTCGGTTTTTCAAGCTAAAGCTTAAATGAGTGCTATCATTGTCACCTGTGTATAAGTAGTTATGTATGTGTTTATCTATATCTGTATATATCTGGCTTCATGTCCAGAGTCTCCTTGGCTGTTTCTCTTCCTGGTTATACGGAACCCTCGGTATCACTTTCACATCCCTCTTTCTCCTGTCAAAATTGTCTCCTGTCCCTCCCTGGGAGCTCTGAGGGTATCTCACACTGTGTCCTGGACAGTGCCCAGCATGTTATCTGCTCTGAACCCTCCTGAGGGCTGTCCCTTTTCTGCTGCCACTGCTACTGGTACTCTCTGTGGGAAAGCTTATTCTTTCACCAGAGCAAAAGTGGAGAGGGGTTAGATGTCACCGGGAACCTCCAAAGCATCATGCTAATTGGAAGAAGCCAGGCACAAAAGGTCGCATATTGTGTGATTCCATTTATATGAAACATGTAGAATAGATAAATCCGTAAACAGAACACAGACTGGTGGTTGCCAGGGATTGGCTGAGGGGAAGGGGAATGAGGAGTGACTGCTTAATGGGTATGGGGTTTCTGTTTGGGGTGATGAAAATGTTTTGGAACTCAATAGAGGTGGTGATTGTACGACATTGTAAATATACCAGATGCCCCTGGATTGTTCATTTTCTGTTATGTGGATTTCACATCAATAAATTATTAAAAAAGACGTCTGTGGGTTCCCATCAGATCAGTCCTCGCTGCCTATTGGCTTCATACAACAAACACTTCACCAAGTTTTAGAGAGGCCGCCCCCATCTCTGCTCTGTTGGGCTTTGTGGGCTGGGCTTCAGAGAAGCACGGTTTGTGCCCTGAGTCTCAGGGTCCCTTGTGAAAGATGCTTCAGCTTCTTTCTGAATCCCCCCTCACTGCAGTCCATGTGTTAGGTAGAAGGACAGATGTCATCCTGTCTTCTTGTTTGTTTTTTTCCCCCTCACCAGATCTCTTCCTTCTTTCTGTAGCCAAAGGAGAAGCCTATAGACTTTGATCAGACTCATCTAGATCCTGAATCTGATTTAGGGAGAGTCAGAATATGTGACATCTGGACACACTCTAGGAATCTCCCCCAAACACACACCCAGGTCACCCAAAATACACAAACCCCAGGATTTCTATAGTACCCACAGACCCTTCCCCAAGACACTAATTAATTAATTTATAATGAACTACAATGTTAAGGAAGACTGGATTCTTGGATCTTCTGGTTAGTACATTCTCTCCCTAGAAAGCTAGGTTGTAACTGGAAGGTTGCTTGACAGGCATGTAACTAGACCAATGTAGAATATTTAATTGTACCAGAGATTCAGTTTCTACCTTCTTTCTGGGAGCAGGGGAGGAAGGATTGCATTTCTTGATTTTCAATTATTGAATATTTTATCAGTTTAGAATCAGACTAAAGAATAAAAGAATATTCCTTTTATACTTATAATAAGTAGATGCTTTGTTCTTTTTTTTTTGGCTGCATTGGGTCTTTGTTGCTGGGTGCGGGCTTTCTCTAGTTGCAGCGAGTGGGGACTATTATTCGTTGCGGTGCACGGGCTTCTCATTGCAGTGGCTTCTCTTGTTGCGGAGCACGGGCTCTAGGCGCAGGATTCAGTAGTTGTGGCTCGTGGGATCTAGAGCCACAGGCTAAGTAGTTGTGGTGCACGGGCTTAGTTGTTCTGCAGCATGTGGGATCTCCCCAGACCAGGGCTCGAACCCGTGTCCCCTGCATTGGTAGGCGGATTCTTAACCACTGTGCCACAAGGGAAGCCCGGTGCTTTGTTCTTAAAAATTAGATTATAACTTTGTTTTCATCAGTCTTAGTTTAAGTTATGTTTTTATGACTTTTTTCTTTCTTCTGCTTCTCTTTGTTTAAAATCTTATTATATTCCGAATGATTTGATGTTAATGCAGGAATTTATCATAGTACTATGGTAACATAATTTGTGGTTTTCTGTTAACAGAAAGAAGTCAGGAAAGGTAACTGGTTTTGAGAAAAAGTGGGGCTTTTCTATAAAACGATACTGAAGTGTATCCATTTTTTAAAAAATAAATAATTCTTGAGCATGTGCTATTAGGGGATACACAACAATAAATAGAAAAGACGGGCTTCTTACTCTCGAGGTGGTTATGTTTCAGTGGGAGAAACAAATGTAAATAAAGACAGTAATTGTGGATTATGGTCAACACCATGAAGAAAATAAAATAATGTAATATAGGGTGACTGGGAGGACAAGCTTAGGTTAGTCAAGGAAGGCCACTCTGGAAAGGTGGCATTTCAGCTGAGAGGTAAAGGCCGAGGGAGCCAGTTGTGTAAAGAGCTAGAAGAACAGTATTCCAGACAGAAGAAACAGCTTCAAAAGACTTTGACCTCTTCCAAGAACTATCAAAAGTCCCGTGAGGCCCAGCGGTGATAGGAAGTTATACAGGGAGGCCAAGACCTTGCAAGAACTTGAAGGCCCTGATGTAGAATGTGGATTTATCTTCTGTCAACTGGGAAGCCATAAAAGGCTGTTAAGTTAGGGAGTAGCGTGATATGATTGCATTTTTAAAAGATCACTCTGGTTGCTGTGTGGAGAATGGGTCGGAGAGAAGCAAGAGTGGGAGCAGGGAGACCAATGAGAAAGAAGACAGTCGTAGTCAGTCACCCAGGTGAGAGAGAAGATGGATTAGCATCCTGCACTGACGTGGAGGAAGACAGACTTGAGGTGTATTTTGGTGGTAAAGCTGACATGACTTGAGGATGAACTGGAATACTTTTTTTTTTTTTTTTTTTGCGGTACACCGGCCTCTCACCGCTGTGGCCTCTCCCGCTGCGGAGCACAGGCTCCGGACGCGCAGGCCCAGCGGTCATGGCTCACGGGCCCAGCTGCTCCGCGGCATGTGGGATCTTCCCGGACCGGGGCACGAACCCGCGTCCCCTGCATCGGCAGGCAGACTCTCAACCACTGTGCCACCAGGGAAGCCCGAACTGGAATACTTTGCTTCATAAAATCGAGAGGCAAATTTCAAGAAAAAGGTAGAATCAGTACTGTCAGATGCTGCTAAGAAGCCAAGGAGATTGGTAACTGAGAAAATGCATCTGGATTTGTTTCTTGAAGAATTAATTAAAGAGAAGGGACGCAAGAAAATTTTCTGGAGGGATGGAGGCGTTCTATGTCCGATAGGGGTGTAAGTTATACAGGTATATCCATTTGTCAAAATTATAATTCTATAATTTACATTTACAATAAAAATTACAACTTTCCAGGTACAATTTCCCTGTGAAAACTGTAAAATAATATAATTAAATAGGGATGGAGAATGGATGTAAGTATGGCTGAAACAAGAATGACAGAATGTTGACGACTGTTGAAGCTTGGTGATGGGTACGTAGGGGTTCATTTGTATTTACTTTGTATGTACTTGAAATTTTCCATAATAAGAAAGTTTTTTCTTTGGCCCCTCTGCACGGCACATAGGATCTTAGTTCCCCAACCAGAGAGCGAACCTGCGCCCCCTGCAGTGGGAGCACAGAGTCTTAACCACTGGACCACCAGGGAAGTCCCCATAATAAGAAAGTTTTTGAAAGGAATTTATTAATGGTCTGCAAGAGTAAGAGGATGAGAAACTAATTTGATGGGTTAAAAAGAAATTAAATGATAAAAAAAAGTAAGAGTTGTGGCTGTAGTCTACTATCCAGTTGTAGGAAATTTAGAAGTAAATGAAGTGAGAAGGAGGCATTACTAGTTCAAGTGAAAGATTTTTTTTTAATGGAGGAGGCCCATGCATGTTTGAGAAAAGAGGAAAGAAATGAGTGGAGGAAGGCAGAGTGTGTTTCTGGAAGAGGTTCACCATGCTTGTGAGCTTGAAAGAAGCCCCGGGGATCGGTGAGGCCGGCCTTTGCTGCTGTGGTGGTGCCTGGGCTCAGGCCTGAACCCTGCCCTTCTGACTCCTGTCTGGTGGCGGAGAGATATTTAGAGGAGGAAAGAAAGAAAGCGGGGTTCAGCTTTTCTTCATGTTGCCTCTGGAACAGAAGTCATTGTTATTTGGAGAGTTTAGAGTGCACAATTAAGGACTTGAAATGACGAGTTTAGGTTTCCTTTTAAGGGGAAGTTTTGGAATTGCGTTTGTAGAGAAGGTGCTAAGAAATCTAATAAGTGAATGAAAGGGTCAATGCAGTTTTTAAAAATACCCATGTAAGTGTTGTACAAACAGAAATGAGGGATGCTTATGGTCAGACAGGACTGACAAAGGAAGTCTTCTTGGAGAATTTTGATGCTCCTTTTGAAGAAGTATTCTCTGAAACTTTGCAACATCTTCCATAGTTTTTTTTGGAGAGAGATGTTTGTTTAAGTTCAGAGATGGACTGGGGATTATATATTCTTCA